AAACCGGGAGCGCACAACTTGAGCGACCGCACGCCGTTCAAGTGTTCCTCTAATTGGAACTTTGCGGCTTTTGATCAGCGAATTTTATCAACACCTACTCTAATTAACTGTAAAGTGAGGGATTTGTTGGGAAATATTGGTCATCTGTTCCTGATTTTCGCCTGCAAGCTGATTACGAACGTGTCCACTCTGAACAAGAGTAGACGTATTTAGTTGCACTGTGAATTGTTAAGATGATACAACGCATGAAGTTGTTGTTATCATCGTTTTATTTACAATTCAATTAACTTCTTTTTTCCCCGTATTCGGTCAAGAGAAGCAGAGTTTGAGAGACAAGATCTTCCACGAGAACTGTGGTATTCGGTTATGGCTAAACTGCATGTGTCCCGATTGCCTATCAGACCTGCAGTTCAACTTCAGCTGCTCAAACTCCAAGGTGAGTTCCCCTATTGTTGAACAGTAGATCCCGTTTTTCCTACAATCCAGCTAAATGGAATATACTTTTGTAATGAGAATTAAACTGTTAGTTTTCGGGAGTCTAGATGGAATGTGTGTGTATATGATATGCTTGAAGTGGGGTCCTCGTAGTAATGAATACACTGGGCACTCGTTAAACTTTTCACCAGGATTGACTCCATGATTTTTAACTCGTTTTGCAAACCCTTATGATGATGGTTAGCTCGTCCATACACGACCTTCGATCTGCGAACCGCGGTATCTAAATAAAAACAATCACACTTCAACATCATTTGAATCTCCACCATCACCTGATTCCTTCAATTTCGCGAGTGAAACAAGTATGGATCGATAGAACACTTGCATACGGTCATCTGTCAGAGAATGCATTGAAATTAGGACCTCATCGACTGAAGCGAACAAGGAAAATATGAAACTGTTCAAACGTTGAGTAGTACTTAAGGACTCTAAAGCGGGAGGAAAGTTTTCGATTAACTTGAAGCTTTGTATCGTCAGTTCAGTCAAAATCGACTGTCAGTGAGGGCTACAGCTGAACAAACTTGAATATGTAGTTCTTGCATGCTCCCATGTGAGCTGGTTTGGGCAGTGGTCACTTACGCCTTGTGCACGAGAGCCTCAGGGTTTTAATCACGAAACGGGTCGGCACATAGTCACAATTGATGAGCTCCAACGAGAGTAAAACTAGTGCCTGTCGTGCTTTGCCAATTGAAGATCAACTGAATTAAATGGTGATATCTGAAAATGATGACGACGCAGAAGTACTTTCAAAGTAATTCGACAGAAGAGGTATGAAGTGAGCGATATCGAGGTGATCAATTGCATGAGTGACAATCTGTCAACATTAAGGTTGTTGCTGTTGTCACTGCAAATTCACATGAGAAAATAGGCATCGCATATATCCAGTATTTGTTTGTCATTTCGCACCCTGTTTACAGTTAGACGAAGCGCTGGAGGAGGAAGCTAACCAAGACCAAAAAATGAAGCTGGCAAATGAAGTATTTAAGACTGGATGAACAGAATAAATAAAATGTGGCCCTTTTGAATCTCGGGCTTGGTTTCCAAGGCAAGCACAGTCAAAACCGGGCACCAGAATCTTTTCAACCGTCAACAGATCTCAGCGTTCGGAGAGAAGTGGACGCACAGAAATGCCTTATGACTTTCTCTTCCTGTCGCTTAAGATGACCAAATTTTAATCTACTTAACACATTTTAGTCAACCACCGCAAGCAACTGATTTTCCGTATTACTCAAACAAACCAAGCTCCCTGGCTTGACGTTGTCTACACTGCCGCAATAGATCGCAATAGATCCACGAACAAATGTCTTTTGCAGTGACCGTAGCCACAGTTCCGGGGGTAGAACATGGATGAGCACTGTTCTCTGTAATGTTGACGTGAAACTGACCGGTAAACTTGGTCCGGGCAGCCTAGGCATAACATGTGCAACTCACAAACATTCACCTTGGGGTTCGAGCGGTCTCACTTGTGTGTATGTAGTACTGGCGGTTCTTGGCAAGGAAAAAAGTTGTTTGACACGCTGGTATTGCATGATAATCCCCTCGCTAACTATGCAATAACCTGGCTGTAAAATGTTCCCATTTACTATTATGCAAACATAATGAGCCAAGGGTTTAACAAACAATATTCACCCGGTACTGTCGTTCAAAATTACCTGGCATACTAATAGATACAATTTGGAATGATTAGCGAGCAAAAAGCCAAATGAAAAAATAAAATTCGTACATAATGTTGACATTTCAACACTAAGTAGAATAATTCGAAGATATCGATATTTATGTCATCACGTGATCTGCTGAAAATGATTCCTTTTTAGCGAATATAATGTACAGAACAAAGTTATTGTTATGCGCTACCCGGAATTATGTAGCTTTGCAGCTTACACACCAAAAATGCAGATATTGCTTGTTGGAGGAGCGTACCAAGCGCGTGGGATCTCACTGTGATCTGATGCACATGTACACGTTCGTCACACTCACAGTTGGCGCTGAGATGGGTGGGGTCCGTTGCCCGCAACAAGCTCGCAAAGATGGGTTTTGCTATACAGTGTATAGGTTTAATCGAAACTGAAGCAACCGGTCCCTGTGAAACACTTGTGGGTTCGTATAGTCAACAGTATTTAGACCAAAGTAAATTTTCTTTCCAAATAATAATAAACAAGCTTTGCTGAGTCTTTATAGCATTGATTTTCTTGATTCGTTCATACTCAGTAAATGGAATGGTTCAAAATGTAGCGGATACTCCCATTTCGTCAGTAGTGGTTGACCTAGACAATGATGAGTTATGAGGTAACTAAAGAGAATGGAACAATTTTTATTTACAACAAATTAACATTCATAATATTTAAGATGTAAAGTTTATGTACACTAATAGTCGATTGGTCTGCCTTTGTTCTTTAGGACTTTTCCGAGTCTCTTTGGCATCGAATCCACCAACTTTGTTATAAAGTCATTTTCTATTTTGTGCTCCTTTACGTAGCGCACTTTTGCCTCCAATGTCCAATATACAAGTAGCACAGTGACTTCTCTCTTAAAAACAGAAAACATATGTTCAATCACATTGAGATCCGGGCTATTAGGGGAAAGTTGCATAAACTGGACCTTAGAGTCGCACAAGCTGTCCTGGTTATTGTCTTTCCATGGATTATCCTGTAAATTGTGCTTCGGTTAATGTTAAATCATTGGGCAAGATTTGATATGGAAAATCCCAGCTTGTGTGCTTGTACAATTCTGTTTCTGTCCCCTTCACTGAGTTAGCGAGAACTTTTGGTTTTGAGCGCTGCTTGCTTCACTATGCTGACAACAATACGAACGGTCAAAGCTGTGCACAAAAATGACCTTGATTTAAGTGATATTTCTCGAATTCAGTGAGTGAGATGTCAAGCATAGATTATTATTATGAAATCTTATTTAATGCAATTTCATTGAATTGTGCAAGGATTTCATTTGGTTATTCAATAGAGTTACTATTATGTATTATATGTCGTAAAAATGCATTATAACAAAACATCGAGATGGCAAAGGTTTATGGAAATAATTTGGGNTAATTTGGGATAATTCCTAAGTCATTCCTATTAGAAAATATCACGTTTTCATACTTGATAAAGTTTGCCATTTTTATGTTGAGATTATTTAATCCTAGCAACCAAGGTCAGGCACGTTTAATTGACACTCATGCAAACTGGAAACTACGTAGATCGAAGTAGACAAGATATAAATTATTGTCAAAGTCTAAAGTATTATTATAGGTGATAAATATAATGAAACTCGATATGATGATAAAGAAAATATTTTATTGTGTCACAATCGGCCAGTACTGTAAATTCAAAATGAGAAACAGTCCGATCAGCTGCACAGTGACCGAGTGGGTAGTATGCTTGCGTTCATCCTTGATGTCCCGGGTTCGATCCTCATCTGGGTGGACGCATTCGCACTGCTGATGGGACCCAATCAGGTCGAAAGAGCTGTCCAGTGATTTTTATCTTTTCAGCTCACCTCTCATTCGCACGATAAAGTTATCGCATTAACAAATCAAGTCCTTCATTACTTGCATGCAACAAAAGTAAAATAAATTATTTTATACAAACCAATTAAAGTTCAGTGCTTTACCTGTTTGACGTAATCGTGTGGTCAAACTGAATTCAGACTAGCTCAAGCTAGTCTGTTTTGATGCTTCTTTTTTAATTAAAATTAAATTCCGTCAGTAGTTGATTGGAGGTGCAAATTTCAGTGGTGCATGGGTGTGTGTAATTTAATTCTTTCACTATCTGCTGTTAGTGTTTCAATTGTTTTTCTTTCTATACCGATCACCACGCACAAATTAGCACTCTGGCGTCGAGATCTGCGTCAGCGCTCTCGCCCGATCGAGGCGTTTCTCCAATTATACTGCCACTATCGCACAGAATTAACCCGACTAGCAGAGCAGCAGTACAGTTCCGCGGACGGGTCCACCGAGGAGCATGTCCAATTGTGTCGTACTGTGCTCGAGGAGGGATTGCGTTGGTTTCGCTTGGCTCATGTGGATAAGGTAACCTAGTAATAAAATGACAATTTTGACGTCAGTCCATCTCCACGACTTTCATTGACGTTTTTATTTTCGCGTACTTTTTGTTTTGCTCCCTTGGTCTTTAGGTATTGCCTTTGTACAGATCATGACAGAGAATTTGAACAATGAATCAGCAGGGTGCTACTGATTTCGTACACACTGAAATCTGTGTGACTGACACTAGAAGTTCTCACCATCTTTGTTTATTTGCAAACTGACGTAGAGCATCTTTAATGAGCATGAGCTTATTTTCTCCGCTGCAGACAGACGCGTGACTGGTCACGGTTAATTTTTGCAAACATTGATCTGCACACCATGGTTTCATTCTGAAACAAAAGCAAGCCTGGAGTTAACGTAGTGTATCCCATGCTTCAAAAATACGGTACTCTATGAGCATTTCCACGAGAGATAGTGGCCTCACATGTTTTGCGTTTCGGTCAGTAGTGTGGGTACATTTGCCTCACAACTGTAATGCTTATCAAATGAAAAACAGAAATGTGTAACATGGGGTTGTACAGTGAGTCAAGCGTGATGTCACGGAATATGTTGTAGAACGCGTTGCTCAAAACCGGTAAACGAAATGCGTAATACATAATGCAACCGCCGTAAAACACACTGATGACTGGTTTACTTTTGAACATATGCATAGTAATTTCTCACTTATTCTATAATCCTTGCATACCTCTAGATTAGCTTTGTCGCGGCCAGTTTATTGTGAATGTGGCTAAACAAAAGCGACACTCCACATCGCATTCATGACTGGTTAGATTGCAATCTCACCATAAATGCACTAAAATCGGGACGTTACATGCGTAATGTAACGTACCGATTTTAGTTCTATCTAGGTGCCACTGTGAACCTTTGATATGGCAGGATGAACTAAAATACTGTCCGTTTGCCGAAAGCTGAAAACTACTGATAAGGAAAAACTCAGTGTTAAAGAACTCAAAGCATTCCACTGCACCCCGCACAACACCGTGTATGGAACTAATTTAACAAGGTGCAGTCAAGGAGATGGACTTTATATTGTTTCTTTAGATTGTGAGAACTCAATCGTTATCTAGTGTCTCCCACCGGTCCTGGAAAATGGCTTTGACTGTTATACCTGATGAGATATGTACCACATGTCGGAGAAAGTTGATTCCAGGAGCGCAATCGGGAAAGTCACATGATCGATTTGTCTCTCCGTCAAACTTCAGATATATAGATAGATAGATATTACAATAAGTAGTATATGAATGACTGGTCAAAAGTTCCCTAGAAGCACATGATCGGTTTCGCGGTTCTCGTTACCCGTCAGGCTTGCGTATCAGGTATATATATATATACCAAGTGTTCACCACACCAATTCGTCACACCCCATTTCTATCGATTGATCTTTGGCTTACTTATTTACTTAATCATTGTCACTGTTCAGTAAGGCTACGTGTTCTGGTCATTGTTCTGTCGGGTGACTAGCTGTTTGCTCCATTCTAGACTGTGATAAAAGGGCTGTGACCGCGGCAAGATATCTAAATTGATTTCTTTTTAGACCTCAGTAAGTATTCCGTGGACTATTCGAAGTGTACAATTGGTATCTGATCAGCATAAACTAATCAGCTAACATCATGAAGTCACTGGTCGCCTGGAGTATTGCGTGAATTCCTGTCCATCCATCCATCCATATCCAAATAAATACATGACTACACCAACACAGTTGTCAATCATGTAAAAAAGCAAAATAATTTGTGTTGTTTTATCATTCGCTGTTTTATTGTGCATTCTGTAATCAGAAGAAATTTATTTTTTAGGAAGCATTTCATGTTATCTGGCAAGCATGGCACTCGGTAGCCGGTTATGATGGGGTCCCCCACTTCGCCGATTTCTTACGATTGGTGTTCGGTGAAATGCCCAACAATCATAGACAGCTAGTAGTGAAAGTAAGTTCCTCGATTAAACAATATATTTGGAGAATTCTGCGATTCTTATATGCTATACTTGCCCTTAAAATGGTATATTTCACTACAAAGTTCAGTTCAGTGTATAGGCACTTTTGTGTGGTGTTTAGGTTGCTGTCTTTTGATTACCTATTTGAATGAAGTAGTAGAGGTAATCAGTGGGAAAGTTGAAAGCGGTACCCTAGTATTGTGGTTATGATAAATTTGCGAAGCAATCGAATACAAGCACGATCGAAACTGTTTATGACGCTCGGCCATGTCACGCATGGTTACGACTATCGGTTGGATTAATCCCAAGGCTCCCGACCGGGAAGCTTGTACGAGGTCTCTGGTCAGAATTTGCATATACCCTATGACAGTTTCTAGTTAGTTCCTTCCTGATTGAATGATTAAAATTGACTATCATTCAGACTTCATCTTCACGCACATTCCTCAGCCCTTCCAGTCATCCATACACTCGGAAGCACTATATTCGAGTTTCTCCCTTATTGGAGCTCATCACTAGTGCATATCCACCGTCCGGTCGCGATTTGAACTCCGGACCCATTGCATAGAAGGCGTATGCGTTACCACTGTGTCAACCAGCTCATGCCATGTTCGTTCACGTGTCGTCGTCAGAGATAGTCAGTCAGCTCAATTTTGCTCGATAGCAACGAAGGGAGACACAGTTGACCATCTGATAACTCCAATCGAAAGCCTCCCACTAAGTCAGATCTTACATGCAGAATATGGGCTAACTGGAACTAGCTTCGAATTTAAAATGTTCTTGCTTGAAAGATTTGTAGCTATTTTCATATGATCAAACTATGAAAACAAGCCTTGAGCTTAAGCTGTACGAACACAGAGAGAGAGAGAGACGCAGGTGGCATCTCAGCGTAGATTCCGTCTAGACTGATGATCTTTTGGCTATTTATTAAATTCATCAATGCATCAAGATTAGTTACGTAATATGATTTCAAAACAATCTGTAGCTCAAAACAATGACATGTGGCGTGTTGAAGTTGCAGTATTCAAATTTTTGAATATGCCTGTGTTACACAGAATTCGTATGGCGCTAATCAGAGAAACCAGTAAATTATACCGTGGTAAGTTTGAGATTATTCGGCTGATGTCATGCGACTGATTTGATTCACGTGTCCTTTTTTTGTGATAGGCATTTCTTAAAATGGATCCCGGTCTCGTGGGTCATATCAGTCTGCTCGAGCTCCGCCGATTCTATACCACACCGAATTGGGCAGTCAGTGCATTTGGTGAGTGTGTTTACCTGTTCTATTCAGTCAGTCAGTCAGCTTTTACTTATATCCTCATGCTTATTTTTACTACTTGATGGATTTTCGTTGGGTAGTTAACAGGAATGTAAATTGTTATAATCACTATGTAATCTACAATCAAAGTCGAGCAATAATAAGGCTCCTTTTCGAAATCAGCACATCGTGCATCAAACCGTCTGACGTTTACCAACTCAGCTTGGGATTACAGTTGTTCGTAAACGATTGGCTTAACTCAAAAGCACCGGGATCTTTTCACCGAATCGGAGGTGAGGGCCTATAGTAACGTCTATGCCACGTCACTCTTCGTGTTCCGGACGAATGACGGACCTCGTTCTGCCTTACCAACCCCAAAGGTACAACGCACCCTGGCAACAAAACTCACCAGTGTTCTCTCATATGTCCCGGGGAGAGAGTTAGTTTTTGGCGATGGATTGGTCAGAATGATTTTACACATGGATTTCATTAGCTGAAGTGCTTGCGAATGATGGCACCCATCCAGCAAATGATGATAAAATGTATAACTGCTGACAAAGTATTTGAAATCGGTTCTCGTGGCCCGGGTGAACTGAATTCCATTTCGCCTAGTCGCCGAGCTTGACAATTTGCTTGCAAACGTTTCATCACCAGCCGAGGTGATATCGCCCATGCCACTTCACATGCGATGTCACCTCGGCTGGTGATGAAACATTTGCAAACAAATTGTCAAGCTCGGCGAACAGGCGAAACGGAATGGGTAACTGTGGTGTGAATTCTATGCTGTGTCCCCTGTTAAAAAGTCGATTTCGTATTTAAAAATTAAGTAGTGGAAAAATATTCGGTAACAGGACGGAAATCACAGGCTGTGCAAAAACCGGCTAGATGTGGCAAGTGTGTAGAAACACGCACGAAGATGCTGACGATTTCTGAATTGACGGATCATTATGGACTACTTACCAAAACCCGGGTGAATTTCTTGTGTGAAATCTAGCACGAACCTTATGCAGTATGTACTATAATTTATTATTCCATACCTTTTTCGGATCTGTAAATACCCCATAAGTGTCATCGTGATATACATGACATTCAGTACTCTACAGCTAACCTCTTCGTTATTTATACGGGTATCACTTGCTTTTCTATTCATTACAATAATCAACGGTCATGTGTGTGCCGCATACAGTCAACCTGTAAGAAATGCTACTTTTATACTAACTCAGCTTGTCATGGATGAAAGAGCTTTTCACGTACCGGAATGAACCAAGTCCAACATTCGAGTCAAGAGTCAGTCATACCACGCAATTATTTGTTTCCATTGATTTGCTGTTTTAAATTGATCAATAGTGAGTCACTTATTTATATACAGGAACAAACTCCAGCTTGACTGATGTATTATTATAACAAATTTGAAAATAAACTCCCCAAACCCAATCGCAAGAATGCGTGGCAAGGCATTCATTCGTTTTCCTTTCATATCATTTTTGAGTGAGTTTATATTTGTTTCATGCCTGGATAGATGAAAAATAATGCTCCTGTTCTCTATAAAAATTCGTTGTGCTTCTCGTTCACCCAATATTTTCTCGCTCTCGCATGCTGATTAAGGATCTTCTGTAATTCCAACAACTGCCGAACTCCTGGGTCTCTTTCAAAACATCATGGGAGTGAAAACTCACGTACCATTGTATTGGGAAATTGTTCCGTCGATTGTATCAAGGATGAGAGTCAAATGACCCGGACCATTTTGGGTTTGAATTCCCCGAACCCGGTCACTTCCGATCAATTTGAGCGGATTATTCAAACTTCTTGG